CTGTAGCTCAAGTGGTAGAGCACTCGCCTTGAGCTGAAGAGCTGAGGGACAGCGCCCAGGCCCAGAGTTCAAGCCCCACGACCGACCAAAAAAAAGAAATGCTGTTTCCTAAAATACAATGCACCATGTTACATTTAGAAATGTAATTATCTCAATTTCTTGACATCATCTACTGAGTCAGGTTTTATAAACATTTACATAATACATGCCATTTTGAATAGTTACATTATGAAAAATCAATCATTCATCTAGATTTCCAAATATTCTAAAGTTCAATAGTCTCTAATTTTTAAATTTTTCCTGGTTCTGGAGTTGTTTGTTTCACCTTTCTATTTTTGTCCATTTTTATTTTGCTTTCTTTTTTTCTCTCTCTTCTTTTTTTTCCCCCTTGGGCTTGAACTCAGAACCTGAACACTGTCCCTGAACATTTTTGCTCAAGGCTAGTACTCTATTACAACTCCACTTTGTTAGAACCAGGTTAAATTAAACAAATGGAGTATTAATTGGACCAAGGAAGAATGACATTTAACTGGGACAAACAAGTCCAGGTAACCTGAGAAACATTAAGTATAGACCCTAGGAATGGAACAAATTGAGGCCTGGTTTTTACTGAAATTTGTAAAGTAAGAATCCAGCTACCCTTGAAAGGTAGAGTCTTCCTGTAGAGAAAAACTCCAGGATAGTCATTAAAAGGAGAAGTCCAGAGATAAAGGCCTGGGTAAATTAGGCTACTGGAATTTGGTAAATAACAGTGAAACTCAGAGCCAGAAAACCTGGAAGGTGGTTTGATTTTGGGGTGTGTTAAGAAATTTGTAATGTGGTTTTTGCTTCGAGGACTTATTACTTTGCTTATGAAGACTGTAATTGCTATTTCACTAACTTGCTTCTTTGATGAGAAGATTTGGGATAAGGACTTTGCCTTGTGACTTATGGCCTTGGTTATTGGAAGGACTGGAATTGTAATCGCCATTTTGTAATCACTGTAGCTCTGCTTCTGTAACTTGCTTCTTTGCCAATCACAAAACTACCACTGGCCACCTGTAAATGGTGCCCCCTCGCCCATGGATCTTGCTTTTAAATATCCTGAACTATTTGACTTTATTGCTGGTTCCCACTGTCTGGGTATAGTGAGGGGCAGCTGCTACGGCCATAAAGACTCCTAGCTTAACTGACCAAGGTTGGGGTGTTGTTGGGAAATTGGGGTTCTACACACGTCCAGCTTTTTTTTTTTTTTTGAGTAGTCTTAGGGACTTTCCTGCCTGGGCTGGCTTCAAACAGCTAACCCCAATCCTCAAATCTCAGCCTTCTGAGTAGCTAGGATTACAGGTGTAAGCCACTGGCGCCCCACTTTTGCTTTTAACCAGGCTCTAAACAAGAATATTTAAAGCTCTTTTTAAAGGAACCAGCATTTGAATTTCTCCCTTCTATTTTTAGTTTTCCAATATCATTATTTACAGTTTCTATCATTATTATCTCACTTTCCTTTTTCCTTATTTTAGTATGTTTTTAAAGTTTGGAGGAGGTTATTCTTTTTTCTTGTTTTGTGCAAGCACTGGAGCTTTAACTCAGGGACTGAAGTCCTATCTATAGAATCCTGCTTCCTGCAAATATATCCACCGACTCAGAAAAAAAGGGCAAAGGAGTCTTTATTAGCCTCGCAGCAACTACACCTCACTTCTCAGGTACTGGAGCATAGAAGCCAGGTTATCTCATAGAGTGACTTATAAAAAGGCCACATGCAGGAAGCGGTGATGGGAATCTGCAGTGTTCTCATAACTCCATGTTTCTCCCCTCTCAGCCCAATTCTTTTTATGTGTCCAAAGATCCTATATGAAGGGCTTGCCTACCCTCTCTTGGCCAGATCATTTTATGTATCTAAAGATGGAATATGACAGACTGACCCCCACCCAGGCACATACAGATACCAGGCAAAATCCCAGGTATGTGAGAACTTGTTTGAAGTGCGGGCAGGGCCATCCACCTAAGCCCAGCTGTAAACATCCTATTGCTTTCATTGACCTAATGGCTTTTTCATTCACCTCTGCCTTCTTGCTCAGGATCCCAAATTCACTCCCTTGCACAATCTCCAAACCCACAGGAAGGCCTGAGACCCTCCTAGTTCCTCAATAAACAATCCTCCCCCATTCCTTTTCCATTCTCTTCCATTTTCCCACCAGGTGAAATACAGAAAGAGCCACATGTAGGTGTGTATATAACAAATAGCAATTTCCAATAAACAAAGCATTAAGTGGGAAACAAAAGACCACATTCTGGAGTTTCCCTTTGTTAGGGGTTTAACTGATGTTTACCAAAACACGCTCCAAGCTTCCTAGTTACAAAAACACCTTCTATTTACAAAAAACACCTTTCACACTTCCCAAGCTTCCTATTTACTAAGTCTAAAACCAAACCACCATTCCATCCACTTTCCGGGCTTTTCCTGGATTCTATTACTTACATTTCAGTAACCTGATGTTTAACTTATTATTTCATTTTTTACTTTGGGTCTTTACCTCTGGAATTTCCCCTTTATTAACCTGGAGTTTCTCTCTACAAAGAAGTTCTGCCTTATATGCTTTGCCTTTTTTTGTTGTTGTTTTTGTTGGTCATGGAGCTTGAACTCTGGGCCTAGGTGCTGTCCCTCAACTCTTCAGCTCAAGGCGAGTGCTGTACCACTTGAGCCACAGCACCACTTCTGGTTTTCTGATGGTTTATTAGAGGTGAGAGTCTCAAGGCCTTTCCTGCCCAGGCTGGCTTTGAACCCCAATTCTCAGATTTCATCCTCCTGAGTAGCTAGGATTACCGGAGTGAGCCACTGGTCCTCAGTTATGCTCTATTTTTAATAATCAATAATTTTGTTCTGATTTCTCATGGTACACTATCCTAGCCTTTTTGCTCAAGGCTAGCACTCTACCACTACAGCTATAGCTCTACTTCCATCATTTTTGCCAGTTAATTGGAGGGAAATACGAGTCTCTCAGATTTGTCTACCAAGGCTGACTTCGAACCATGATCGTCAGTTCTCAGCCTCCTGAATAGCTAAGTTACAAGTGTAGGCCATCAGCACTTGGCTTCAGTTTTTTCTTTCTTTATTTTTTTGGTCAGTCGTGGGGCTTTAACTCTGGGCCTGGACGCTGTCCCTCAGCTCTTCAGCTCAAGGCGAGCACTCTACCACTTGAGCCACAGTGCCACTTCCGGTTTTCTGAGTGGTGTATTGGAGATCAGACTTTCTTGCTCTGACTGGCTTTGAACCGCGATAATCAGATCTCAGCCTCCTGAGTAGCTGGGATTACAGGCTTGAGCCACCAGCATCCGCCTTCAGTTTTCTTTAAGATGAATTTTAAATGCTTTTATAGTTTTATTCCTTAATGAAGGAGGTAATGAAAGTATTTTCAGGTATGGTTATGGCCAGGTCCTGCAGGTTTTAGATGAAATATTCTAATTGACGCTCTATGCTTTGTAATCTTGCTTTTGATCTCCTAATAGGATTTAAGTACTTTCTTTTTCTTACTTTTGATGTTTTGCTCAAAGCTTAGGGCATTCTTTTTCCTCTTGTTAATTTGGACTTTCTATTGTACTTTTCTGTTCTCATCATGGTTACCTCAGCTCTTCAAGCAGTAGTCAGGTGCTTCTTTCCCTAGTATTACTGAGAGTAGTAATTTTCTCTACCAAGAAGTCAATAAAATGCAGCCTGCGGATTTCTGTCTCTCCTCCTTTCCCCGTCACGAATTGCTGTTCGTTTTCCAGTGAGACAGGTAGAGCAGTGTGAGGTTGGAGAAGTTTCTACTTGAGGGAACTTCTTCGTTGGCTGTGGCCCTTGAAGTCGGTTTGGAAAGACTGTGGAGGTGCAGTTCGGAGATGCTGACAATGGAGCACGGTCCAATGGGCGCCGGCCCCGCCTCCTCCGGCCCCGCCCCTCTGGTCCTACTGACTCCGCTCACTCTAGTCCCACATCCGTGCGCCCCGCCCACACCGTGGTGGCCCCGCCCACGGATTGCAGACCCCGCCTATGGCGCCTTAGGCCCCGCCTCCTCCGCTGTAGGCCCCGCCTCCGTCGCCGCGCCTCCGCCCCCCAGCTCCCGTTGGAGGCCGCGCCCCTCGAGTGCCATCTGTCGGTTGGCACTAGCGTCCTCGAGCGGAAAGGGGCGGCGCGGAGGCTTCTGGGAGGGGGAGAGGGGAGGGGGGAGGCTGAGGCTGGACCCGAGCTGGGAGGCCAGCGAAGCCCGCGGGCTGGGTCCCGGCGGCGGCCACCTTGCACGGACCTCGCGGGCAGCCCCGCAGGCTTGTGCACCGGGGAGTTTTGAGACCCTGTGCTTTGCTGTCCGTGACACATGCTGGGAGGAGGCTCTCTGCTGGAGATCCCAGGTGATAAAAGTTGGGAAACTGAGTCACGAGGACATCAGAATACAGAGAGCGCAGAAAACGACCTCAATAGGACAGATCGACTTTGCTGGGGCGCGGGGTGGAGGGGTCACACGTAGGGTGACAGGGAATTTCTGGGCTTGTCTTGAGAGCCGGGGCTGTGCTCGTTACCACGTTTGTGGTACGGCCTGAAATCGCCTGGTTCTGGGAGCCTGTTGGGTAGGCGGATGGCTGGGCCAGGTGTGGCCTATGTAGATGACTTCGGTGCAGGACACCCGAGGGAAGAGGTGGGCTTTCACGTTTAGATTCTTAGGAGAACAGCAGATTCCCATCCGTAGAGTATGAGGATGGTAACTGATCTTGACTTCAGTCTCTCTCCCCCCACCCCCAGGGGTTTGGGTGGGCACCTGCCAAGGCCAGTCCGAAGTTCAGCTTCACCCTGACGCGCCAGCCCTGCATTTGCCTGTGTTCCTCCCTTGTCCTCAGCCAACGGTGACCTCCCCCCACCCCATGCTGCTTTAATGGGCTCTGGGAGCACCCACCTCTTTCCCCATTCCATAGCCCTAACGCTGGGCACTGTATTCCGGTCCAGGTCTTGCTCTTGGCAGCCCTACAACAGGATGCTGCTACAAACTCTGGACATGTGAATGTGATCTAATCCTTCAGAAAGACTCACTTTTTTTTTCTTTTGCTATGGCACAACTTCAGAAATTTGAGAAAGGGGTGAGGGGCTTTCTGGAAGGAGTTTGCTGAAAGCTGCTGAGCTCTGGGCATAGGTCTGGAAATGAGGTTTGCATTGAAATATGGATACTAGATCTAAGTAGCCCATCTGGTCCTTATCACCATCTTGACATCTTAACAGATGGGGAATTTTCACCCAGTTCCAAGAACTCTAGAGGTGAGATGACTTTCTTTGAGGGGCTGGGAAGTTGGTTCAGTGGTAGAGCGCTCGCCTTGCATGTATGAGTCCCTGGGTTCGATTCCTCAGCACCACATAAGCAAAAAAAGAAAAAAGCGGAAGTGGCGCTGTGGCTCAAGTGGTAGAGCGCTAGCCTTG